CCACCCCACCCCACCCCCCGGAGCGGGTCCAGGCTGCCCAGGCACGTGGGACCTCGGGGCTCACCTTCCAGGGGCTCACCTTGCGTGGGCTCCCCCTGCGGGCCCCAGGGGAGCAGCAGCAGCTGCAGCAGCAGTGGGCAATGACCAGCAGCAGCAGGAGCAGCACAGTGCCTGGGGACAGGACGGGCATCCAGCTGCGGCCTCGCCAGGGCCCGGGGCGGGGGCGGCCAGTGGGGAAGGAGGCCGACGCCACACTCACCAACAAAGGCGAGGAAGACGATGAAGGCGGCAGTGTCCCACGGGGACTGGAACAGCTGGCGGCTCCTCAGTCTCCCCAGCACCTCCTGAGCTGTGACCTTCAGCTCCTCCCCCAGCTCCTCCACAGACAGGCCCATCTCCGCAGGCACGGCTACGTCCACCTGCCCCAGCCCCGGAGGCCACCGCAGAAGCCCCGGCTCGGCTCGGGCCGCACCACAGCCTCCCACAGCCAGGCCCCAGCCTTGCCCCCACCTGCCCCAGCCCCTCCTGCGCCAGCCTCTGTCCCAGCCCTGCCCCCTCCTTCCCGTGGCCTCTGTCTCAGCCCAGCGCCAGCTTGTTCCGGCCACCTCCCTCACCTCTCTGGGCTCCAGGCCCATCTCCTCTCCGTGCCCAGCACTTCCAGCCCCTAACCTGACTCTGGCATGGGTAACCCCTCCCCAGCCACCATCTTCCTTCCCTCCCTCTCCCCCGAGCAGCCCAGCCACCAGGCCCCCACCTGCCTCCTGGAAGCCTCAGAACTCCCCCAGCCCGGCAGGTCCTAGGTCCCCAGGAGCACAGGCTGCTTCCTGCTTCCGGATTCACACACCTGAGGACTTGGCAACCAGCCCCACCTCCCCAGGGTCAGCAGGGCTCTGGAGCCCAGGGCAGAGAGGCCAGGCCCACCGCTGTGTGCCTCCTGCCACCCAGCTGCTCAGGGCCTGGCGCTGCAGGGACCAAAGGGAGGGCACAGCCTGCAGCTACTTTGTCCCAGGGTTTCTGACCTTTTCTGGATATACCAGACGAGCACCCAGAACACAGGGGCACTCAGCCACTGCTGACTTCATGAGTGACAGAAGGGAGGGAGGAAGAGCGGGAGAAGGAAGGGGACGAACCGGCCCACATCCCTGGGGCAGAAGGGAGATGCTCTGGCAGCAGGGCCATGTGCCTGGCATCACCTGGGCCCTTGGCATCTGCAGGGGTTGCATCCAGACCCTCTCTGATACCAAAATGCACAGATATTCAGGGCCAGCTGTGGAAGGGTGAGCTTTGACACATAGCAGACTGCACACCTGCTCTCTGTGCGCAGTCACCCCAAGAGTCCTCGGAACACCTGGTCTCACGTAATGCTCTGTGGATCACTGTTAGACGGTGTTATTTAGAGAATAAGGACAAGAAAACCAAGTCTGTGAGTGTACAGGACACTTGCGGGTCTTTTCCCGAAGTATCTGTCCACAGTTGGGTGAGTCCACACATGCACAGCCCACAGGTACGGATGGAGGGCCAGTTCTAATTTTCTCCATTTTAATCCCCAAGATGACCCTTGCAAGGTGGCAGCTATTGTCTCTCACATGAGCTCCTTCCCCAGAAGGTGGGGCCTGGGGTCCTGGCCTGACACCCCTGACCATCCCCAGCAGAGGCAGCCTCCACCCCTCCCTTCTTTCAGTGCATAGAGAGGTATGGAGGCCCACCAGGAGCCAGAGGCTGTGCTCAGCCAAGGTACAGGGCTATAAGGCAATCGGACACAATTTCTTATCCTCATGGTGCTCGTGGTCTAGCAGGGAAAAAATGTCAGCTAATGGCAGGTCCTGCCCCTGACACTGCACACATTAGCTAATTTATTCCTCATGGCAATCCCAAGGTGGGCATTATCACTCTTCCCATTTGACAGATGAGAAAACTGGGACCTAGAGAATTAACTACCCTGTCACACGCCTGGTATATTCATTTCCTGTTGCTGGTGAAACGTGCTACCACAAACTCTGTGCCTTCAAACAACACAAATGTATCATTTTACAGTTCTGGAGGTCAGAGTCTTTAATGGCCCAGCCGGGTTATGCTCATTCTGAAGTTCTAGGTGGGAATCCATCTTGCCTTGTCTTCTAGAAGCTGCCTGCATTCCTTGGCCGGGGGCCTCCCCTGCCTCCAGCTTCTGAAACTTCCCTGCTCTTGTCTCCTCCTCTGGCCCTGTCATCCGCCCTCCCTGCCACCCTCTTCTAAGGGATTGGATGATTATATCGGTGGCACCCAGATCTTGAGAAGCTGCCATTTCAAGACCCTTAAGTAAACCGTGTCTGCAAACGCCTTCTGTCATAGAAAGCAGCACATTCATAGGTTTGGGTTTCGGATGGGAACATGAGAGCAGGGGAGCCAGAATCCAGATCCCAGAACCTTGAAGGCCGAGATGCGGGGTCTTTTGTGAGGGATGCCCCTCCATCCCCTTCTGAGATCTCAACTACCTGCTCCCGGGGAATGGGGGCTTGAAGTGATTTGGGGTATTCAATTGCAGAAAAGGGAAGGAGTACAGCCCTGTGGAAAACAATCCCTCAAACAATGAAGCAGAGTGTTCCCCTAAGATCCAGCAATTCTACTTTCAGGTGAACTGGAAAAAGCTCTCCAAGGGACTTGAAACCAGGGACTCAAAGGCTCGTACACAATGTTCACGGCAGCGCTATTCACAATACCCAGAAAGTGGAAGCGACCCACGTGTCCATCAGTGAATGAACAGATAAATAATGTGATCTGTCCATACATCAGAATACTCCTCAAACATAAAAAGGAGTGAGGAACTTGTTACCCAAAGTCAAACTCTCAAGAGACAAGAAATGGTGGGAAGAAAGCAGCTTTATGGCCAGGCACAGTGGCTCACGCCTGTAATCCCAGCACTTTGGGAGGCTGAGGTGAGAGGATTGCCTGAGTTCAGGGGT